TCTCTCTCTCTCCGTCTCCATTATAAATGTATCATTGTTTAACCTTAACAACCAATGACACGCCCTACCAACAATGATAAGAATTTATTTATGAAACCTACCTTCACTTTTTAATAGAGATAGATATATGAATAAATGTGAATATTATTCTTATTTTATACAAAAGGTAAAAATTGCACAAATTCCAATCATTTCATTCTATTTCAATTTACCTAATAAGTAAAAAAGTTCTGACGATAGTATGGTTTTACAAAACATAAATCTATACAATACGTTGCCATAGTAACCGGAACTATTGTATACGAGATAAATATGTTCAATTAAAAAAAATAAAACAACAATAATTTCTTTTAACATATCCTAGTTACCATGACGAAAGGTTTTCCACTTTTCTATTGAGTTCTGTGAGTAAGTATCATCTTTGAAATAGAATTTGGGCCACTTGAATAATAATTTTAAAAATATATTTAAATTATGATACAAATTTTATTGATTTATTGTATTGATATTTTTAATTAATTGATTTTTAAACTCTCTGAATTGACCTTGAAATAGAATTGAAAAAGTAATGATGATAGATTGATTTTTTCTGCTAATCATAAATTGAGAATAGTGATTGAGGTAGAATATCATGAATTCATTTCATTTTCGTGGTTTCTCATTATTATTTTTATTATTATCATCGTCCACGATTCCGCCGCCTCGCGAGATTCCAACCCAGAACCTCTAGATCATTGAGCCGGCTAGCATCCAACGGTGTTAATGTCTAACTTCAACTAATCCATATCCATCATTGTCATCAGTGAGTTACTATGTCACAACAGACCTGGTTGAACTCTACTCGTCACTGTTTCTTACTATAACTCCAGGAAATACCTCTTAAAGCCAGTCACTAGAGAGCATGGGATGATTAAAATCAGAAGGGGTTTTTATGGATAATACAGTAATTTCAATAGTTGAGATCATGATATTCTAGATTTTAACATCCAGTAACTCATTTTATTTATGCCTCACCGTAAATATCTGTGTATCATTAGAATTTACATATGTTCATCATTAGCATTTAAACTCGACATAATATCTGTTTGTTATTGAGATCGCGAACTGAGTTAAGTTAGACAACCACATACTCTAATGATTAAAATCAGAGAGAGGTTTTGTAGAGATTGCAGTAATTTAATGATTGAATTCATGAGTCATGGTATTATTTGGAAGCACTAGACGGTAGCTCAATTTCGTGGATTGATTGAAGTTAGACATTAACACTATTGGATGGCGGCAATTTCAGTTGTCTAGAGGTTAAGCGTACGTGCACGAGACCGATAGGTCTTAGGTTCGAATCTCGCGATGCGGCGTGATCGTGGATGTGCACTACTGGGGAGTCTGACAATAGGACGAAACAGCCATCCAAAGTTTGCAGGTTTTCCATAATGGTCTAGCTTTAATTGACTTATAAATTTGAAAATTGATGAGAAAAGTTGCGTATGAGATTTGAAGTTTGGTTTAGTTTTTTTTCTTTTTCTTGGTTTAATGAGTAAAACTTAACAAATGGACAATTTTGAAAGTAACTTTCAGGTAAGCAGAGATTACATACGCAATATGCAAATCATATTCATCATTTAACATGATTTGAATCAAAAATAATAATTTACTATGGTATTTAGATGGTGGTTGGTGGTAGTCAACAGGAAACCCTGGACCTGGGTTTCGTGCTACTTGGCACTCGTCAGTAAGGTGTACCTGTAATCTTGAGGGAACTGGTGCTCCCTGGAGGATTCGATCTGCACTAATAAGGACCAGACACATATGACATTGATCACCACCCACTGATCAATCAATTGTGAATTTACTATAGTACTTGTAGGTTGATAACTGTTTATTTCTAATTATAGAAATTTGGTTTGACTTATTGTGAGCGTTTGATTCAGTGAAACTTAAGGTTTATATTGTTTGTTTATTTGTAACATGAAGTTTGGTAATATGTCTGCTATTCATTAATTATCAAACTGTTGGCCTATTCATAACTGTAGTACCCTTTAATGTAAAATTCTTTAGAACATGTACTTTCCTCTTTATTCTTCCAATATTTGTACACATACTGTGTAATTGAATAATTTGATTGAAGGTAATGAGGAAATTACACTTGTTGATTTTTGTCTGTTTTAGGGAACAGCTCATTTCATACAATGAGATGAGCTTTCTCACTTGATAACCAATCTTCAAGCTAACACTCATGTTATAATAATTATTATTGCTTGTCAGATGCATCAAATGATGATCAGAAACCTAATACAATTTTTATAGATGCCGCTTAACCTAATGATCCATCATCTACTAATGAGGTTTTCAATAAATTTGATGTAAATACTTCAGAAGAATCAAACTCTGATGACTTCACATCAAGTGTTGTTGTTCCTCACCATCCAGTCAGTTCTAACAGATTCTCTATTCAGTACAGGAAATATAAATAGAGTCGCGTTAAATGTAACTTGGGAATATGATGATCCAACAGTATTTCGTGGGGGAGGATAAACTCGGAAAATTTAAAATCCGGGTATCAACTCTGGATCTTCAAAAATAGGTGTTATATCCCGATGAGAAGAATGAATGGCAACTTTTGAAATCTCTTTATGAACTAATAATATACATATATTTTTTTATCGTATAATTGATAAGTAACTAAACTATTCATATTGGTGTTCCTCCTATCATAAGCTTTATTTTGATCTATGAACTATTATTATACGATTTACCATTCTTAATTTATGACCTATCTATCAATTATTACCTCTCACATTCATAGCCACTTTTGACTGAATATTGTTTGCTATTTTATTATACGAACTTCGCCTGTAGCTCTTCTAGAGTTACTGCTGGTCCCAAGCCCAGGTAAAGTAGGAGGGTTGGGCATGAGGTTAGCGTCCCCATCCCGTAGAAAACTAACTCGCTAAAAAAACGCTTACCAGAAAAAATAATTCAAACCATTATTTTATGGTACGATATGGTCTAGTTGGTTTGTATATAAACCTAGTATGTTTGAAATACATGATTCATATCGCAGAGGCCGAGATTGGTGTTTTGGACTTAACAGGCTGGGCTAGACAGGAAGTAGGACCGAAAGGACTCTAGGCTGCTTGTACGTGTTTTATGCGTCATTGGTTCGATCGATAATTCACTGTTGTCTGTGGCGGTATCGTTACGTTATACATTAATAGGACACAGGTTATAACATTACCATTATCGCTTTTTAAGCTTAGGTGTAAGAAACAAGACTTTCCAACTGATTTATACTAAGTGCATTCATTTGTTTTAGCATACTTATCGATGAATTTCGATCGGTATCCATTTTCGCGTAGATATTTTTTTAACGACAGCAAATTCTTAGTCTTTCCTTCTAAAAAGATTTTATGAATACGGTCAAAAATGGTCAACACAATCCCTCTTTTACAACTGATTGGACAGAAGCTGCTATAGTTTATATAAACTCTACTCTGTGTACTTTCACAATGGATATATTTTTGCAGTTTCCCTCCTATATTTTGTTGAATTTCACATATAAGAATTGGGATTTTTCTTCGGCATCGTGCTCCATACTAAATTTTATTTCATTATGTACTTCTTTAAATAGGTTAAGTAGTCATGTAGGATGCTTCAAACTATTACAACACTAAATGTAAGGCAGAATAATGTTCCATTGATTGATTGTTTAAACTCATCTGGTACAAGTTCCACATGCATATATCAGGTAGAATTGAACTTGGGAGGTTATTATAACAACTTCATGAATTTGGGGTACATCATTTTATTATACTGGAATTGTACACCTTCAGAGGACAGGAGCTATTCGGATTATTTACTCGGTAAAGGGAGAATTTTAAGAGTTCAGTATATGATTTTTATGGATTCTTGCAAACGGAGCTTTGTTAACAAAAAACGTAAGACGTCAACTAACACAATAAATCTATCAGAAACATTTAAGCTTCTCCATTTTTGTGTTATTTCAAATCTATACTTCAGACTGTGAGATCTTAGTGTGGTGTTTGTATGACCTAATTATTTCTTGGTACTTGATGACTGCCTGATTTCGAATTCCAAATACAATACGTTCGGGTTTTCTCACCTTGTTCTGTCTATTAAATTGCGCTATTTCGAGTATTCCTAGTTTGTATAATAATTCAAATACTTCTAATCATCACATTGGCGGCATCGCTAGGGGGCCTGTGATGGGAGAGTTGGACATTCAAATTTTGGTACTTTTTAGGATTATATGGAAAGGTTCGAAATCTAAACTATGATCAGTGAAGATGTTAACATTGTGGCTGATTTCCTTACATTCATTGGAAAAGCACACAGCTTATTAAAAACTTTGGCATTTCCAGAAAATCTTATTTCACTTCCTTATGCAACTCTCAAGGAGCTACTGCTAGATCATGTAAAGTACAAAAATTTCGAAAAATGACTCATCAGGACATCGAAAATTCCACTGCATTGCTACGTCATACCAATCCAATGCGTACTCAAGGATATGCAGGTAATTCATTGAGTTGTGAAGCAGGTCACAAACAAGAGCACAAGTTTGGTGAATGTTTGTTCTGTGACTAGTTTCACCCATGTAATTCATGTGTATTTCCTAATGCTAAATGTTTTAAATGTGGTATGATCGGACACATTCAATGAACTTGTAACTGTTTATTTCATTGCAACTTATGCCAAACTTTGTAATTCCGGTCCTTTTACGCTGAGTGATCTCAATGATCATTTATCTTCATCGACGATTTCGGTACTGGATCTGAACCCCGCGAAGCGGGCTTGTGCGAACAAACTGATGAGGAGTTCCATACTAGGAAGAGACGGCCGTCCAGTGTTTCCAGGTTTTTCATGGTGGTCGAGCTTCAATTGACTCATCATGTCAACTATTAAAATTATTATAATATCCACAAAAACCCGTTCTGAAATTGTTTATAGTTATTTGAAATTATGAAAGTAAAAATCAGTCACCATAATGACTGTTTATCTATTTAGGGCAAGAAAAAATACGACAACAGAAGAAACATTTTGCTGATATAATTAAGGCGTATATCATTGAAGGTTCTGAGATTGTTTTCAAATGTGATGTAGAGCTTTAAAAGATATTGATCGTAATCTTCATCAGAAACTAAGATAAATTAAATAGCCTATTCGCTATCAGCACCATGTTTTCATATTCTTGTTTATTTATTTATTACAAGTGTTTATTAACAGGTATCTACACAAATACTTTAGATCCATTGGCCAGACACTATCAACAACAACCTACTGTGGGAAAGAACAAACCAGATCCCAACGGAGGAAGAAGCGTGGAAATGGATAGGTCACATATTAAGGAAAGCATCCAACTGCGTCACAAGGCAATCCCTCACCTGGAATCCTCAAGGCCAAAGAAGGAGAGGAAGGCTAAAAAAACACATAACACCGAGAAATGGAGACAGATATGAGAAGAATGAACAACAATTGAATAGAAGTAGAAAAGAATGCCCAAGACAGAGTTGGTTGAAAATGTTGGTCGGTTGGCGGATACTTCATTGAGAGTAATAGGAGTAATTAAGTATTACAAAAGTATTCATTGTAGTAAAACCATATTTATTCATTATTTTATTAACAAAAAAATATAAAAAAAAGCACAAGTATAAGATGTAGTAACCATGTAGTAACCAGAATATAATATTCTCATAGATTTATACAAGCAATATATACCTTGAGAGTACCTTGAGAGTAAACAATGGGGGGAAGATATTGATCCATTAAGAAATACAAAAAATAATTCATGATTGTCAAGATAAAAGAAAAGTTTCATAATTATGAATTAAATATAGATTGATATGAGGAGGAGAAGAAGAAGAAGAACAAATAAGAAAGTTAATTAATCATAGAATTTGTAGATGAATTATTATACGAAGAAGAAGAAGTAGTAGTAGTAGCCGTAGTAGTAATAAAGAAATGAATTAATGAATGACTTAAATAATTTGTCATATTACATAATTTCTCTTTTGATGATGAATAAACAAAATGTATTAAAATTAAATTACGTAAATGTAAATATAAATTAAGAAAACAAAATAATGCATCTATAATTAAACCAATTAATTTATACCATTCATATATCCAATATGAACAAATACATTGATACATAATACTAAATAATAAAAGACACATTAATATACTACTTATATATTTCGGATTATTGAATAGAAACTAGACAAAAAAAAAACAAAAAAAACAAGGGGTACATATAAAGGTAAGCAGTGATTACTAGTTAAAATAGGACATAATCATTTCGAACAAATCTATTTGATAATTCCTTTTAAATTAAGATCATAAACCGATTGATGTTAGATCATCATTGCAAATCTGAAAACGTGGGACTCCTCCTTGACAATGTACATCCACGATCCCGCCGCTTCACATGATTTGAACCCAGGACCTATAGGTTTTGTGCGCGAATACTAGTGAGCTGGCAGTGTTTCCAGGTTTTCAATAATGGTCTAACATTAATCAGTTCATGATCTTAATCAAAAACTTAATGATCTCCAAAATCCTAATACTGACAATTCTTTTAAATTACTGAATGACAATATAAAAAACCATTTAGGAATATTGTGCAACTATACTATTCTCATCTAAGGCTTATTGATAATAAGCATCCACGATGAAATATAAGAACCAATACAGAATATTTACGCACAACTCAATCGATAAATCAGAGTACAATAATTCATATATTTGAAAGTTAGTCAAACCATAATATAATACAAATAGTATTATGGCTCTTGATTCGGTCAAGCTGTTCAGTGAATGGTAACCTATGTCATACTAATCGAAACTGACTCAGATTGATATTATATTTCCACTTGTTTAAGTAACACATCATTTGGATATGTTAGATAAAGTCGTTTACAATGGCTTGATGGTAATATCTTGTGTGAGAATTCTTAAACATTTTACTGATAAGTATAAACAAACAGAATAGCTAGTTCCATAAAGCCACTTTGTAAATTATGCGTAACATCTGCTACTTTCATCATTGACACTTAGAAATCAGACATAACTGGACAGATACTACGTCTAGTTCTGAGTATTTTTTTTGACACTAACTTAACTCAAAGGTCGAAATTTACAAGAACAATTTTCCGAAATTCGACGTGAAATAATGTTGTTGGAACGGTTAATCAATTTGTTGACAAGATTATCAAAACTGCTACTATACTACAACACTCGATAGCTTAAATGATAGATAGATTTGATCAATAGGTATACAATACAACAGTAAATGAATATTAAGAAAGTCGATATATCTAAGTTTACTGAAACCAACGAAATGGTGCACACGACTTATATTAAAAAACATTTTACAGTGAATGGATGAAATGTATCTTTAAAAACAAACCGGTTTTTCAAAATATATACATTGATAATAGCGTTGGGTTTTAAAGGGACATAATATTTATCTACTGATTAGAGCAATCAAACCTGGTTTACAATATAGATGACTGTTTAAAGACACTCATCATTACAGGTAATATTAGCATGTCCCCCTGCGCAAGGACGACACGCAAAGCCGTGAAGCGCTCCATAATGCCCTGGTACGGCCGAGAGTGAGGAGAGTCAAAATTGAGAGGACGAAAAGCAAATGTTCAGCAGCAGCTTAAACAGGGTTGGTGGATACGGAGAGTCCACCTAAAGGAGTTGGAAAACCCCCATTCCAAACCAATAGTGCATATGGGCTTCACGATCCTAAAGGAAAAAATGGCGTATGAACCAATCATTGGTCACCGGCTACCAAGGGAATGCATCTCCTTACGTAGTTCCACTGCTCTGTGGATCAGACCTTTAGGTCGAAGGCCCCAGGTGTGGCCCCCTAAGAGAACCACCTGCTTCGGTTTGGGCACCCCGGCAGGGTCCCAGTCGTGACATAAATCGAATGATTTATTAGGTGCCTCCTTGTACCAACATTTATATGTTTAAATAAATATAAAAAAATACCGTACAGCTAGGGATTATAGCCATTATGGCACAAATATAATCATTCTCTATCTTTCTATAGATTTTAAAAAGTAAATTCTCATTTAAAGAAATGAAAATATGTTCATCAAAACAAATTCAAAGGTTACGTAATTTGGAATTCGCCAAGAAGCTCAAGGTTATAATAGTCAGTTCAAACAATTCAAAATTAATTTCAATAGTTGAAATCATCAGTCAATTGAAGCTAGACCACCATGAAAAATCTGGAAGCATTGGACGGACGTTTCGTCCTCTTGTGGGGTTCCTCAGTAGTGCGTATCCAACACCTCATCGCCTCGTGGGATTCGAATCCACGACCTTTCAGTTTCGCATGCGAGTGCTTAACCTCTTGACCACTAGGTCGGTATCCAAAATTAAATACTATTTTTTTCTTCAATAATTGAAGTAGATTCATCAGTAGTACTCTCATTTATGACACAATAATTAATAAGAAAAACTTTTATCTATAATTAATCGATATTAATGATATACAGGTACAATGAACATTTCCATTTGTTGCTAATTATTTACACTTGAAAAGAAATGAAAGAATTTTTTATTATTAGACCATCTGGTTGAACGGAAATACAAGTCAAACAAGAAGAACAATAACAACTAATATCACTACTAATAAATAAAAAAAAATCAAAAATAATGATACTATCTGTCTAAAGAGAAAAGCATTTAACCTAATCCTCAATTTCAGCTGAGTCATTTAAGAGACAAAGTCTACAATAGCCTATTTGTAGGACTGTAAATTTTGAGGTCAGACAAATATACAGTTATCCACAGAGGGGAATGAAGAGAAAAGGGAGGAAAATACAATGTACAATAACAATGATAGTTTACAAGAGAAAAAAAGCAATATCGATACGTATGTACACGGAAAACACATGAATCATTAAACTGGTGAAAATAATTGAAGAAGCTACAATTAAAATGTTGGATATATATATAATTCTTGTATACATGTGAGTATGAGGCTATGTGGACAGTTGGTGTATACAAGTATAAAGTCCTTACTATAAGACATATAAAAATGAAAACATGAAATGTGAAACTTTCGTTAACTACTTATTACATTTTCAGTAGTACATCTCTGGAGAAAATGAACTAAAAAAATCTTATCAGAATGAATAACATGAAAATATAAGTAGGAAATTGTATTATCCCAATTTAGAGGAAGTATTTAATAACAACTGCAAGAATATCTACCATGATTATCAACTATGTGATGTTTGTTAAACATGTTTTATCGTAAAGTAATTTAGAAATTTGTATTCAACAGATAAGAAATTATCATTAGACTAGAAAGGGTTTTATGAATGAGCAATATAAAATGTTTATTTATTTAAACACATAAAAATTATAACAAGGAGGCACCAAATAGATATACGCCACATAAATCATTCGATTTATGTGAGGGTTGGGATACTATCCGGGTGCCCAAACCATAGCGGGTGGTTTTCTTACGGGGCTACAACTCAAGTCTTTGACCCTAAGGTTCGATCCACAAGGTAGTGGAGCAACTTCAAGAGATGAATTACCATAGTGGTCGGTGACCAATAATAAGTTGATACGTCATTTGTTCCTTCGGGATATCGGAGCCGAAGTGCACTATTTGTTTGGAATCATGGTTTTCCAACTCCCCTAGGTGGAACTCTCCGTGTTCACTAACCCGGTTAAAGTGTCGGGCATTCGCCTTTCGTTCTCTCAATTTCGTAAACAACACTTCCTTGGCGAGAAGGAAGTGAGTAGGACTTCCCTGTCAGTGGTTGTATGCATGTGGTCATGTGAAATCAATTGGAGAGGGAGAGCTGACTCTCCTCACTCTCGTTCGTACCAAGATATTTGAGGGCCGTATAACAGATAACCAGTGTTCTGTAATTTTAAATATTCTTCTATCTGATGTCAGAAAGTGATGTGATAGTTACTAAAGAAAAAATGATGTGATATTTATTTCGAGTACTCTGAAAGAACAGTCTTTTTAATCTCTGAATTATAATTATAAGAGATAGTGAAAGGATACATAAAAAGTGTATACATAAGCGATAAGAGAAATTATTTAACAATGAAGAATAACCAATCATGCAAACAATCTAAAAGTGAATAAGTTATATTAAAACTAGTTGCTTATTAATATTCACAGCCTTAGTAACAGTATCCATAACAAATAATTTTAGGCACCAAATACTTTTTTTGTTTTATTTATACTGGAGGGGGGGGGCAGATAATTTACTGTTTTGAAAAATGAATATTTTTTTTGCTAGAAATTTTTAGAGTTACTGATTAATATTATTTGAGAATAATAACAATCTCATAAGCTTTGAAATAAATAATCATGATCTATATGGATCTAAATAGAAAGGATCAATTTTTTTAAAATTAGAAAACAGATGAACTGATAATGTTAAAAGGATATTGAGATCTTAACACTTTTCTTCATTTATTAAACAAAGTGTATAAATCAATAGTATATAATAATTTATTTATTTACATATTTTACAACATAGATATTGGTACAAGGAGGCACCAAATACATATGCGCCACACAGATCTCATTTGACATGTGTGAGGACTGTGATACTACCCGGGTGTCCAGACTGAAGTAGGTGGTTTTCCTAGGGGGCCACACCCCGAGCCTTCGACCTAAAGGTCTGACCCACAAAGCAGTGGAACATCGTGAGGAGATGCAGTCCCATATTAGCCGGTGACCAACGATTGGTTCATACGCCATTTGTCCCTTTAGGATCGTGGGGCCCATGTGCACCATTGGTTTGGGGTCCGGTTAAAGCGCCGGATATTCGCTTTTCGTCCTCTCGTTTTCGTAAACAACACCCCCGCCATGAGAAGGCAGTGAATAGGACTTCCCTGGCAGAGACTATATGAGCGTGGCCGTGTGAGAGCATTTCGAGAGGGCGAGCGGACTCTCCACTCTCGGCCGTACCAGGGCACTTGGGGGCATATCATGATATTAATGCTATTATCAAACATTTTTTATAAAGTTTTCACAGCTTAACATTAATAAATTATATATATAAGTATTGACAATGATAAGCTTACATAAAATCGTGAATGAAGTCGATTGCCAGGTTCAGCACAGTTATTAATTCCCACAGATCGAAATAGACCGTGCATATGTTTAACTGCAACCCCATGCGGATAAATCTGGTTTAACAGAAATAAAAAACAAAATATAAAGTGTTGGATACAAAAATGTCATTTTGGTCAAGGTAATTTATAAGTGATATGTATGTAAATTTGTGTGTATGTATGTGTGTATTGTTTAAGAATGAAACATTGTGTGACATTTATGATGCGAAAGGATAGAGTTTATTAATTTGTGAGATGACAGTGTGAATTGTAAATAAGATCATACTGAATGGCTAGGTTAGATAGTCCAAGTAGGATTAAGCATTATATGGAACACTTCAACTACTCTCCTTTCTTTGTAATTGGTAAAGCCTTTTTGCAATATTTTGATATTTTTAAATTCAATTTGGTGGTCGTTGAAAATGGCATGAACTGCTATTGCCGATTTGATTTGAAGTTTATCCAATTCTACGGGATTGTTAGGAGGTTTATTTGTGTATCTAATATGTTATTTGGCTTTAGTCAAGATTTCTCGAGATGACTCTCCAATATAGAAGGCGTCACAATCGATACAACCTAATTTGTAGACGCAGTTCTGTATGGACATGAAAGAGATTTTTTTAAAGCGAACTATAGTACTTCGAAGTGTGTTCGTTGTTTTGTAATACACTTTAATTCTGTGTTGTTTCGAGATTCTTTGGAGTTCTTTCTATCAAATTACAAATCATGATTTCTAACCTGTTTATAGAAAGAGAACGTCATTATTTAAATTCATCGAAACACCGACAAATTAAAAAATTCGAAAACATCAAAGAAAGGAAGAAAGATAAGAAAACATCAGCAATAAGATATAATTCGAATGATGTAAGAAAAATTGTTCTTAATCTTGACTAGAGCCAAAGAACATACTAGGTACACAAATAAACCTCCTAACAATCCCGTAGAATTGGATAAACTTCAAATCAAATCGGCAATAGCAGTTCATGCCATTTTCAACGACCACCAAATTGAATTTAAAAATATCAAAATATTGCAAAAAGGCTTTACCAATTACAAAGAAAGGAGAGTAGTTGAAGTGTTCCATATAATGCTTAATCCTACTTGGACTATCTAACCTAGCCATTCAGTATGATCTTATTTACAATTCACACTGTCATCTCACAAATTAATAAACTCTATCCTTTCGCATCATAAATGTCACACAATGTTTCATTCTTAAACAATACACACAAATTTAAATACATATCACTTATAAATCACCTTGACCGAAATGATATAACATTCACTTAGTCAAATCTGTTCTTTAATTGATCACATATTATTATTCTTGCATTGTTCCGTTGTACTATTTAAACTTGAATTAATTTTAATTTGGTTATTTATTCTCTGAAGAAGTGACTTACACTAAGTTACGAAACGTCAGAAAATCAAATTTTTCTACTCATTGAGGTATTACAAATATATTATTTATTTATTTATAACAATCTACCCAATGCTCAATTTATTCGAAATTATCAAATTAAACGTTGGTAATGATACCTAATTTATCCTATTACATTTGATCGATAGAACTTATGCATTCAAAGTGATTGATTACACAACACTTTTCAATATAATGGAATCATTTTGATTGAATCAACTACTATTTAAAAGCAAATATGTTACACAAATAATCGTACACAACAAGGGAAAAACTCTAATCTAATAGAAAAATGTAAGCCAGTCAGGTACAACGTAGGACCAGGCATATATATGCATCGATCCAAGTTGTTACACCTCATTAGCACAACAAGATCAACATCGGATTCATAAAGTAGTTAATTCAATGGTGGTAATATATATACAAAAATGTAATACATACAAGCGACGAGTATTTCTAAACACAATGAGAAATTTATTTTTAATAGTTCAGATCATGGATCAATTGAGACTAGACTACCATAGAAAACAAGCAAATGCTGGGCAGCCCTTTATTCCTAGTACGGGACTCCTCAGTAGTGCGCATCCACCATCCCACTGCCTCGCGAGATTTCAACCCAGGACCTATCAGCCTCGCGCGCGAGCGCTTAATCACTACACCACTGAACCGGCTGACATGCAACGGTGTTAATGTGTAACTCCAACTAATCCACGCATCCACCATTGTTATCAGTGAGTTACTATCTCACAAAACACCCAGTTGAACTCCACTGATCACTGCTTCTCACTAGAACTTCAGGAAACACCTCTTGAAGGCAGTCACTAGTGAGAATATGTTTATTTTTGTTAAGATTACAATCTACATATTATATAATCATTGAACCATGAATTGATTCATTTAAACAAAATATTATTAATTTTGATTGACATAAGAAGGCATGGTGAAGCTGAATTCACCATTATTAATTTACTGATTACTTCTATTGAGTATAAGTAGTAAATTTGATTGTCAATCAATAGAATTATGAGTAGTATAATATTAAATGATAAAAATCTAATATTGAAGAGATTAGTTTTAAAAAAATTTTGTCTATAAGACTAAAGTAAACTTTATATGTACATGTATATATGTATAATTATTGGTATAGAACTATGATTAAGGGAAAAGATAGTTCTCATCATGGATTGACTATAATTGGAAGATTATTAGCAATGAAATGGGATGATTACTATCATTTGATAAGAACTGAATTAGTCATATTGTTAAACTTCACTTCATTGACAATGTAGTCATACGCATGAATGAACCTTATTAAAAATTATGAATAATTTTCTTCTACTAATTGATATATTTCACACTGAGACTTATAAAAGAAGGGAAGAAAGAAACGACATAGCAACGAATCAATTATGTTATATTGTTGGAAAGTTTGAAGATTTCTTGCATTATCATTTCATACTTTGTGAATTACTACTATTCATAACTGTCAGGAAGGAGTATATACCTTATATATATATATATATATATATATATATATATATATATATATATATATATATATATATATATAAAAGTAACCTTATTATGAAAGCAGCAAAATTTTTATATCGTACAGTCCTTCTAGAATAAATTGTTACATATATACAAACAGTAATTAGTCTGAAATGACAAATAATGGTTTTGTATGCACTGATATTAATTTCTATGAAACATTAGATTGTTAGAAAGATTCCGATATACAGATATTTGTCTATGTATCTTCACAAGAAGCTATGGAATAATATAGGTAGGCAACAGATGGTAATTAGTGTAAATATCCAAATACAGGCTCCTAAGTTAGAATAATTTTTGTATGTATTAAGTTGTATGTTAGATGCGAGATACGTGATGTTTTAAGTGCCCCCAAATGCCCTGGTACGACTGAGGGTGGGGAGAGTCCACTCTACCTCTCAAAATGCTCTCACACGGTCACGCGTATATAGTCTCTGCCAGGGAAGTCCTATTCACTGCCTTCTCGTGGCGGGGTTGTTGTTTACTAAGATGAGAGGACGAAAAGCGAGTATCCGGCGCTTTAACCGGACCCTAAACCAATAGTGCACATAGGCTCCAGGACCCTGTGGGAACAAATGGCGTATGAACCAATCGTTGGTCACCGGCTAATATGGGACTGCATCTCCTCACGATGTTCCACTGCTTTGTGGGTCAGACCTTTAGGTCGAAGGCTCGGGGTGTGGCCCCCTAGGAAAACCACCTACTTCGGTTTGGACAACCGGGCAGTATCACAGTCCTCACACATGTCAAATGAGATCTGTGTGGCGCATATGTATTTGGTGCCTCCTTGTACCAATATCTATGTGTTAAAATAAATAAATAAATGTTTTTAGTATCAAAGTGGATTTCGTCGATTGACAGACCGGAGGCAGTGAAAACAGAACTACAGCGGTCAGAACACCTGCAGGCTCGAAAATTCGAAAGGGGAACAAGTGTGATAGACGCTACTAACAGGATTGTTTGTGTGTAGTATGTAGCGGGATGTGGAGTCGATTGTACAACAATTGTCAGACAAACTGAAGAACTTCAGTAAATCGAAAGCCTGACGTTGGTAGAACACTTGGAGATCAGACGAGATGACAGTTCAGATGGCAAAGCTCACCGAAAGATGCAAATACACGATTGAAGGCTATGTGTATATGTTATGTAAATACTTCGTAACTTCTCACAGCAAATAAAAATTCACTAAATATTGTAATTGAAGCATTAAAAAGACAAGCTGGGAGAAAAAATTTTCATTCTAATCAGTTCTTCATCAAGGTTCTACACTAATATATATGCATTATAAGTGAGTAGAAAGTCGATACAAATTAGGCGGTGATGAGTCAGTTTAACAAAATTATAATCAGTATGGTGTTGAGGAAAATATTGGGTTTTGTGATTGAGATCATGAACTGATTGATGTTAGACCACCACTGAAAACCTGGAAACACTAGACGGCATTGCTAAGGAGTCCCACAATAGGATGAAATGGCCGTCCAGTGTTTGAAGGTTTTCCATGATGGTCTATCTTCAATTGACTTATGATCTCAACTATTGAAATTACTATAATATCCACAAAAAACCCCTTTTGATATTACTTAAAACATAGAGTGCTAATATCTTGATGATGTGAAAGTATTTGGTGTGCATTTAAAAATAAAATTCCTCAAGTTTTCTTTTTGTTAAATTATCACTTTTAATGAGATTTTCCACCTTTTGACCCCTCTCATTATTAACATCCTATTACTCTGTCAGGTCGATAATCACATCCACACACACACACAGAGAGAGAGAGAGAGAAAGTGATAGTAAGGAAAGAATAAAGCAAATAAATGTTTAAAAGAGGAATAATAAGTCAATCAGTAAATATTAAAAAACCCCAAGGGTTTTATACAGTAGAAATACAATGAGTATCAACGCACATATAAACTAAAAACTGAATATGGGTGAGAAAAATTGTGAATAAAAAGAAATCTATTCATAATAACTGGACTTTGAATAAAACAACATAAACTATTAATTTTATAGAAGATAAAATAGAAACATTGCAATATGGATTGTACATGCACACACACACCTACACAATAGGATAATAATCGTCACAACTACCACCACCACCACC